TAAGATTTGATAACTAAATTTTATGGAATTAATAAAACAGTTACAAGCATAATGTAAAAGAAAGTACTTATCATACCAACCAAAAATAGATAAAATAATATATCTATATCTATATATATATATATGGAAGATATTGTTCAATTATTTTAAACTATCACAATTTTATAGTTGAAATTCTATACCAAACATTTACCTCAAGACTATTGCCTTGAATGATAATTTTTATATGTTACATATTTAAGAAGAACTTATTACTGAAAACACAACAAAAAATTGTTAACATAACTTGTTTCCTTTCTTTTTCTTTTTGAAAAAAAAAAACAATATGTATTTTAAAATAAAAAGAGAGATACATATTTTCTTTCAAACAAAAAATATAATGAAACAGTAAATATACAAGAAAAAATCTTTTTCCCAGAGCAGTTTGATTCGAACATAACTTGTCATATTAGATGGATTATTTAAGAATGCCAAAATGTCTACTATGCATTGAAACTTAATTTTTATGTAGATAAATATTATTCATGATAATTCCAAAATCTAAAGTAACTTATGTTATATATATGTATATATATATATATATATATATATATATAGTTTTCCTTGTTAATAAACATCATCCATTGCAAGAAGAAATCTTAATTATCTAAGGTTATTAATTTTGAGATGTAGTGCATTAAAGGCAAGATAGAAATCATTCTTGCCTAGGCCCTACAATTTAAATTGCTTGCTTATTATTAGAAATCAGATATTATTTCTTATGTGTTAGACTTCAAAATTTTGATTAATTATTGGGGGTTATTGGGAATATTAATTACTGGGGGAACACTGCAAACACATACATACATACATACATACATACATACATACATACATTGGATACTCTTTTTGATTTTATGTATAGAAAAATCTTGTCCATAGAAAGATTTTATGTATATTAACCTGGTGTAGAAAGATCAACTACATAGTAAAAAAGTAAGAAACAAGTAGCTTAAGACAAGAATGCAGTGTTTTGGATAGTTAAAATTTCAACTTTTTGCCAGCAACAATCTAGTTCAGATAAAAAAAACATTTAGGTGCTTCAATTAATTTTACAAGCCTAAAATATTACATTTTGCAACAACAAAAAATTATATGTTTTTATTTCATTTCATGATAGCACCAAAATTACTAAGAAACACATATGATACTATGGGACATTCTACATACAATGTATATAAATATAATTGATGAAATAAGGAATTGGGTATTGTACCTTGGTTGTAGGGTTAGGGTTAGGATTTCAGTGACAAATCCCAGACAGACTGCGATGTTTTCAGCATTTTTCACTCTGGGTCTTTTTATGCTTCATAAATCAGGATTTGCTTGCTTGCAGGCAGGCAGGCAGGCAGGCAAGCAGGAAGGGTGTTGAGGATGTAGGGGGCACATGAGACCCCTGGCACACCACAATGCTGCACATGTTTATATTATTATTTACAATTATGATTACTGTTATTATTTGATTTTTGTTTCTATGAAAATATACACCCAGAGGGATTTGACCCCATGATCATCTCCCTTGCTTCTTGTGGGGTGGAGACATCCCATGTCTAAGGACTCTTTGAAGATTACATGATTATGTGTAATGCTTATCTCTCTCTCTCTCTATGTATATATCTCTATGTATATATATATATATATATATATATATTTTTTTTAATTGAGTTTGAAATTGTAGTCATGATGTTTTGGGGTAAATACACAAAATATTTTCATATTGGAGCTCATTACTTTTTTACAATAGGAGGCAAAGCTCATCACACAAATGAAATTCAAAAGATGAACAAGTGGAAGCATTCTCTAGAAGAAAAAAATGAACACTTATTTGTCTCTATTTTTCATTCCTTGTGTAAGTGTTGTCAAATCTATATACTAATCACTGGCCCCTCAATTCATCTCATTATGCTACCCTTTGGTGCATTTTCACATCAGCTCCATGTCTATCCTAGACAATTGCATTCATGCACTTACTCAAGCAATTGTTATTATAAATTTTAATCTTCTAAACAACCTTTGTAAGATGTGTTTTGGTTGCAAGGAAAAGTAGGTAAAATTTGTGAAAAAGAATTATCTTTCACACAAAAAAAAAAAGAAAAAAAAAAAGAAAAAAGAGCTCTTGAGATATTCTACTGAAAGCTATTGGTCTCCCTCACACATCATGTTAATACATAGTTGGTTTACTGAGTTGATTATCTAAACGTAGAAATAATGCAACCATTGTAACCTTGCCCACTTTGGGTACTATATCACATTTCTAGAACCCAAATTAAATGTAATCCACAAATTACAATTATATATATATATATATATATATATATATAAAAGAAAAAGGTGATTGATATGGAAATGATTATGATGAGGAGGAGCTCAATTGAAGTGCAAGTCAATAGGGAGCTGGGATACAATAATGTGCTCCAAACAAGCTACTGTCTTCACACTCAAAACCAAGCCCTAAGAACATGGAGGATTAGGGTTTCTTCTATGACCAATGTCTTTCTCGTCTTTCTTTCCTTTCTTATTGGCCTCTATCTTTGCCTTTTTGTGGGGGCACATGATGGCTTTGGGGGAAGTTTCTCCCATTCGCTTGAAGAGAGGAAACCCTAATTCCAGGTAGATTCCAGGGCTTATTTTTTTTATTTTATTTCCTTCTTCATCTTCTTCTGTTTTGGAAAATTGTTAGGACGTGGGCCATGTTGTGGCATGATCAATGAAGGGAAAGGGAAGAATGGTGGGTGACGAAGTTCGTTCAATGATCCATGACACCTACACACACGCATACATATATATATATATATATATATAATTATCCTGCTGTCCCTTTGAATACACAAAGGCTGCTGCAACCTGAGGGTATTCCACACCCCGCAGACGTTAGATTCCGCCCGGAATCCCATCTCAAACCATCTAAATTCCCCGACAGAATATGCCTCCTCCCCCACATCCTTCAGAAACACTGCGCGTAACTTGGCGGGGGGGGGGGGTTGTGCCGAGGTCCACGCACTTCAACAAAAAAGCACACGTTCCCCCGAACCCTTGGAGCCAGGGAATCAAAACACAACACCGCTCCCTCCGGATTCTGTCCATCCAACTAGATGGATGAACTGCGTCGCTTTGGATAAACTCTTTTTTTAGTTCACCCCCATCCCTTGTATTCTGGTGGATTAAGAAGCTTCTTAGCTACAGTTGGTGTTATCATGCTTAAGTGGTTAATCAGATGACGTGGGCGGCTAATTAAGCAAAATGAACAGTTGTGAGAAAAAACGGAATTTCTAAGACTGATGAGGGAAGGATTACATGGAGCTGGGGTCTAAAATAAGGGGGTAATTAATCCTTTGGGGCCGTTAATGATGTTCCCTCTCAGTGTATCAGGGAACTAATTCTGGCTACTCGGCACAGTTCTGCAGCGACACATATAATATATATTAGAATGGGTGCGGAAAATAGTGTGAGTGTGTCGGAGGGTATCAATCCCCATCCCCCCTCAGAGAAGTGAGTGACGTCATAACTGATTTCCTGCTAAATCTCCGTGGAACACCTCCCCACAGTTGATAATCAGATCTTAATTCGTTACTCGCCCATATTATACCCCCCTTTTTATTTCCCCCCTCCCCCTACAGTTTTTACCCGTTGCATTCTATTTTCTTAGGGCTTACGTGTGCATTCATTCTGAGCTGGTCTTTAAATATAGGTTCGGTTACTGTGGAGTCGTTCGTTCGTTCGTTATCCACCAGGTTGAATTCCCATTTTCATCCACATTGAAAACTATGAAGGAATAAATGGAATGAGTGCATGTGGGAATGCATATGTGTATGTGTATATATATATATATATATATCCACATAAGTTGTGGGGGTATTTTTGTAAAAGAATCCAATGCATGTAAAAACTCACTCACTCTCACTCACATCACCATGATTTAAGTGGATCACCTTGTCTGCCTGCCAAACAAATAGACACACGAGTTGATGAGAAAATGGCATCAAGTTGAGGGTGAAGAGTATGTGGAAAAAGAGAACAAAGGGGGGCCTTAACACTTCCCTATCATTGATTGGGCTTTGGGTGGGGAGTCCCCCAATGATGGTTCATTGATCTCTTTGTGGGTCTTTGTAACCACTTTGCACAAAGCTTAGTGATTATGCCCCAAGCCCACCCCATCCATCTATCTACTTATTTCATCCATCCGTTTCTTTTTCTTTCTACATGGGCTAGAGTAGAGTGTTCTGTGGCAGCTTTTTTCACTAGTTAAAGCTCTCAAACACACAAGAAAAAAAAAACATTGCTTCTTCATCACCAGCCAAACATTGGGCATTACCATATTTTGGGTCCAACATCATGCACTCACTCTCTTTATATGTAGGAAAACAAAAACTATTCTCTCTTTTATTATCATCACACACACACACATATATATATATATATATATATTCACACATCATTTATTTATCTGCTGTTCATATATTCATTTATTAATGTTTGTGTTTGAGATAAAGGAATGGACCCAATTGTCAAAATTGTGATTTTATTATATTATTATTGTTATTTATTATTATTTTATATGTGTGACTATTTTTTGGAGCTTTGTCCTCAAGTTAATGACTCCAAAAAGGGTGTCACTTAAAATGAAGAAGGAAGAGAAAAAATGATGAGCCTGATGATTGCCATAGGTTCATTTGGCATCATAGAAAATTAAAGACCACATCCATTGTCCCCCCTCCCCAAGTAAAAAAAAATCTCATGTGTGTGTGATAGATTTCTGACTCATATACCCACTCATGTGAAACAACCAACTTATCAAAAAAATCTCACACATTCATTCATTCAACACATGTGGACGAAGTGAATCGAGAGCTAGTAGTAGTATGACACAAAATCTGGCCACATTCATTCATTCATCACATTAGGAGTGCCCAATTCTTCGCTTCTTTTTAGGGCAAATGATTGGAGACTCAAAGCCTATCCAGTACCCCAATAACAACACCCATGTTTCAGTTCAAGCAAAAATCATAGTAACATCTGTTTGTGGAAAACTTATCAGTTAACCTGATGAGCACGGTTTTTATGAAAGAATAACTGCGGCTTCTTACTGACTCCATCATGGATTTTGCTGTAGCTCTCTCCATATATATTTAGGAAGAGAGAGAGAGAGCAAGATCTACAGAAAAAGCACACAACTGCTGCATATATAATTAGATTCCTTCCCTGTTGATGAGATGTGAAGTGATGGAGGTTTCTACGACAGCACGGCCCGAGTTGTTGGCATGTCTGTATTCCACCACCTTTCATGTCTGCCATATGTTTTCTCAGGATATTAGACAAGAGCCGGAGACAAAGGAACGAGAAGTTTGCATGATCTACATGTGATTGTCGAACTGACAGTAGTAGTAGCCGAACTAGATTACTGTTGACTTCGCCCATATCGGCAATTCTACATGATGCACAGTGACCACTTCGTAATGTTTCACGACTGCAGAGTTGAGAAGAAGAGACATGGAAATACCTGTTCAGGGATAACGAAACGCCCGGGGATACATTGGAGTCTACTGAAAGAGAAATATGCTTTTTTCTCCCCAGAAAAATCAGCTGTGAGCTACAATAAGTGAGGATTTCAGAGCACCTCAGCTAGAGGTAATGGACCCACTCAGAAAGACTGATGGAGGACAGGTGCATCAGATGAGTGGGTACTGGACAACATTGCATCTGAGTCACATTGACGAGTCGAGGTTGTCAGAATTCCAGGACATTACTTGTCACTCAAAGTCGCTACATACCCATCTCAAGTTGGTCGTATAGGAACAAATATTTGGTTGCAGATGATCCATGCACAAGAGGTTGAAACATGGTGCAGAATCGCTTCAATGAGTACACTGGAAAACCACCACCTGACACGTCAGATCCATTTGCAACTGATGCAGATCTCTGGCGAAGGGAGACTTTCCACTACAGTCTGCTAAGGGGGAGTCGGAACACATGGAGAGCAGCAAAAAGGAACTCCCACACGAAAGCAAAGGTGTAGAATAAAGTTGAAAAGGAACATGGGGATTGGAAGAAAAGACAATGCTCGTCAGAATATATGGGTGTACGAGAGCAGGGCTTTTCGATTGCCGTCAAATAATTTGACTGCAGGATGACTACACGCAGATTCTAAGCGGATTGAGCTTTATCATGAGCAACTACAGCTTCTCGTTAGCGAATTTGAGGAATGAGGCTTTGCATTACACGCACCTTCTCTTGCAGCAATCTGCTCTAATTTCCCTCAACTATCCCAAGTTGCTATCTAATCAGTGCCCGACCCAACGTAAGTTCTAAACACGTGAAAGTTGCACATCTCCTTTTAGCAGATCCAGTTTATAATAATTATAGATCGCCTATCCACTTTCCAATCTTTGCACAAAAGTGTTTTGTCTCAGGCCTCCGACCTATTCTTCCTCATCATTTCAACAAAGTCAGAGAATGCTGCACACAGATAATCATATAATGTCAGGAAATGAGTGAATTCTGAAGAATACTAGCATCCAGCCTGCAATGTACTAGAAAGTTTCACGCAACCTAAGACAATATCACGTAAATATTGCACATCATTAGAAGATCATAAAAGGAAACTGTAAGTATGCAATCAAACGTATACGTAAAGTAACTCAAAGATCTTTATACAGATAGTTCTAGTTGCACATATCATAGCAGTGACGACCTGATCGACACTTTCTACAAGGGTATGGTCTGCAGGAAGGAAACGTTGCCACAAAGAACGTCCATGAGCATACGAATCACGGTTCAGGAATAGGAGCGAGGTGTACCTGGGTCAGAATCATGAGGACCAGGAGAAGCCTCGGGATGATACTGGATGCTCATTGCTTTCATAGCAGGGAATGTAAGGCCAGCACAGGTACCATCATTCAAGTTGATGTGGGTAACCTCCACACCCTCCGGCAATGTATCGGGATCTACTGCATAATTGTGGTTCTGCATTCAAATGAAATGATTAAGAGAAGGTGCAGTGAACTTGTCCAAGAGCTTATTTTTCAAAGATTAAAATCATGAAATACATCTATATGTATCCGGGTTCTAGGTATCAGCGATTGAATCGTCGCAAAAGCGTTAACTCCTCAACAAGCACACAAAATCTTTTTGAGCCTAGTTAGAACTCTATACCAGATGATCTTGCACACTGCCAGCATGTATTTGCAAAAGCAAGGAGATAGAGCGTGGTTGAAAATGATGACCTGAGCACTGATTTCCACGCGCCCGGTGGGCAAATGGCGCACTGGATGGTTTCCACCATGATGACCGAATTTCATCTTGAATGTAGTGCCACCAAGTGCCTGACCTAGTAGCTGGTGACCCATGCAGATTCCAAATACTGGAACTATGCCAACCAAGTCCTGCACACTTTTCACAGCATAGGGTACAGCGGAAGGGTCACCAGGCCCATTGCTAAAGAGGATTCCATCTGGCTTGAGATTTAATACTTTTGAAGTAGGATATGTGGACGGAACAACAGTGATCTTACATCCATAGGACGTAAGTCTCCTGAGAATGTTTTGCTTTACGCCAAAATCGTACGCCACCACCTAAACGCATTTCATGTATCAACAATAAGAAAAGGTAGCCACAGATGTTGCTTAATAAATCGGAAGAATCGTCTACATGATGGAGAAATAGAAATATCTGCAGGAACAACAAAAAGAAGAGTAAATATGTGTTGTTGCATTGTAACAAAATACCCAGCATGATCATTCGAAAAACTTACGTGAAACTTCTTTGACTCCAAATCAGGAATGTCTGAGCTAAACTCCCACTCGTCGTCAGTTTTCTCTTGCCATTCGTAAGGTTCGGTGCAGCTCGCATCAGTAATCAAGTCCTTACCTGTTCCACCGACACAAGTACTTTCAAAACAGGGGAACTACATTGATAGACTCAGGTTTTCCTTAGAATGGTGACAGTAACTGCTACAAACTAACGATTGTCAAGGAAAAGAAAAAGAAAAGAAAAGAAAAGAAAAAGACCGACGAGTCGAACACGTCCGAAGACCACTCAGTCCTTACCAATTGGCTCATTCCATACCTTATTCCAGCCGTCAAGAAAGGCTCCATAAGGTCAACACTTCCAACAGTCGTAACTTTCACGAAAAGGATCTAAAAACACTGAAAAACTGTTTTGGCCGCCTACAATTTCCCAATGACCGCCAACTAAAACTTTTTAGTCACAAATCCTGTCAAAACAATCACGGTTTCTCGTCCAATATGGGTCCAAGGACACCATGATTGACGCTTGAAAGCGTGAACGTTTACCTTGGCTCGCAGGATAGCATAACATAATAATTTACAATTTCCACGGTTTGATCTTGTACCTGCTATCTTCCAGGTCTTAGCCATCTCTATTAGCTCGTCATCGGTCTTGGAATTTTCAGTAGTCAGAACTCCAATTAAGCTACCCTCTTCTCGCAAACGCCTAGTGATAGCTCGGGTGTCTATATCAGCTGCAGTCGCCACCACAAGCATAGTCACCTTAGAAGAAATATGCGGGGAGAATTGCAATGCTAGGAAAGAAAAACATACAATTATATAAAAAGAACGGATTTTATGGACGAATGCAACATACTAAACGAATTAACAACTGACAGCTAAAGAGAAAAACATGCTATACTATAGCTAGTGATCATCAACACAATTGATGCAAAGGCTGCAGCTCATCAGGATTTCCGGAAACATACAGATGCCCATAACATTTCTCTTCTTCAGATATTCAGGAAGATCTTCCGAGGATCGCCAGTTTGACACTCTGAAATCAAGGTCGCTCAACAGTGAGAAAGGAATTATCAACCACCAAAGACAACTGTAAGGAAATTGAACCACAAACAACACCTTACACAGGAAAACGAAAACAGAGTGCCAACAACTAGTTCTATGTTCACGATCTGGGTCACTAATCCATGTCATTCAAATTACATTAAATTCATTCAGATATAATATATGTTGAATTTGTTTCCATCAAATGCTTAGCTTGGTCAGATAAACTAAAACCCATAACCACAGAACTGGTAAAAATAAATAAACGACAAAAAATCTTGAGAGAACAAAAAAAAAAAAAAAAAAAAAAAAAAAACTTTAGAATAGTAAAGATGAGATATTTTTTACACATACGACATCAGGTATTCAAAAAGAGATTTCGGGAATCTAAATCCAACTTGCACAGTTACTTCAAAATGAAAGGAGGGTAGGCAGGAAGGAAGAAGAGTGTATACGCACATGTTACTAAGTCTTCGTATGATCAAGGCACCTGTGAAGCACTTCCCAGACTCCTCATCACCTGTAAAACAAACGGATATCAAATTCAACATATGCGTATCAAATGTGCAGAATTGATTTCGAAACGTAATGTTACAAAACTTTGGATTTGCGAGTAGTTGATACCAAAAATCTCTAAAAGATATGACAGACGAGCCAAGCCCGCAAATGCTACGACGATGCTGATGCCACAATCAGGTCACTCTAATAGACAAAACCGAAACACTAATATCACACTCTTAAGAAAGGTCGCAAAACTGGTACCAAGGTTGACCCCTGTATTGCCAATATGTGGTTGAGTCATGAGTACAAATTGCCCGGAGTAACTTGGATCGGTCAAAATTTCTTGATAACTGTCAGAAATACAAGATGAAAACCCGTAAGAATTTGTCAACCTATCAGCCACTGCCATTCTTCATTCATTCACATTTGTTAAAACGTCGCTTGATGTAAACTGCACAGTCTCTCTTACAGCAGGTTTTCCAAAAATAAAATTAGGACTGAGGCAGATCAACATCAAATTTCCTCAACGTATTCAGAAAATGGATAAGACATTGAAAAGTACTCGCTCACAAACGCTCCTCAAAAGCCAAGCTGAATGAACTAGAACCTCGAGTGGGAACATCAGAGCACCTACCCAGTCAAAGATGTGTTGAAAACCACCTCACCCACTTGGGTACCAGTACTTCCGAAGGACTTCCCACTCCAGACTGACCCATCCTCCAGCACTAGCCGGCAGTCGGATGCCTTCCAGGGTCGAGCAGCTGCCAAAAAGAAACTAAAGTCACATCTTAAGACATACATGTCATAAACCCCCAATCAGATTGATTCGATGATCGTACAGCCTAAGCTTCCTAATCAAAGGTGCTTAAATCAAGACCGAGAGGTGACACGAGCTTTTCAATAGAGGCAAGGAGGTGTCCATTCCTTGCAAAAATATTTACATTCAAGGACCCGTTTTTTTTCTAGACCTGTCAATTGGGATTCGGTGATCAGTCAACACTAGCTCCTTACTGATCTCGTCTGTTGCTTCAAATATATCTAAGCAGTGTTCCCACTTATGAAACCAATTCCATGCACATCAATCGAATACATCATGCACCCTCATTGTTTCGAATTATATGTATATAAACCAAATTTGGAAACAACTTGAGACCAACTTCAACGACATCACCATGCCCTTAAACCCTAAACCCTAAAACTTGAAAGCATATTAGATTTCAGACACTCGAAATTCTGGTGCGCGACTGAAATCATGAATTCAAGACCCCATTCCTAAAATTCTAAGTGAAATATAATGCTCCTGAGAAAAATGGAATGTGCAAGTCGATCAGTACCAGTCGCCGCCGCCCTGTCTCCAGCGGTGGCAGTTGCACACTTGACTTGCAAAGAGATCGATCGGGTACACGCCTTCACACTCGCGGACGCTACTGCGGCAACTTGCAGTCGGCTGCGAAACGCTGAAGACGAGGCAGAAAGATGAAGAGAAGAAGAATGAGGTACAATCTCTCTGCGGTTGCATCCACTCAGTAATCCCGTCACCCCCTGAGACTGGGACACCAAACCCACTTTCATACCCATTGCCATAGTTCCTTCAAAAACTCTCAAAATCTTCCTCCCCCAAAAAAGAACCCTCTCAGGGGCACCCCACAAATTCCCAGACCCACGACCCAAAATGTTGCACGATCCCGAAACTGAATTACCAACACTGCGACTCAACCTCTGGAATGCCGAAACAGCACTATGGGGGGGGGGGGGGGGGGTGTGGGAAGCCGCGGCCTGTCGAGTGGAGGTGGAGAGGGACAAGACAAGACAAGGGCAAAGATTCCCGTGACCTTGAATTGTTGCCCACCTTCCACACCAGGAGGTGCTGCTGAATGCCGCCTCTACGCACACGAACACAACGGCATATATTGTCCGATTCCAGCTCGTGTGATGTGTAATTCTCCCGGCCTTCTATCGAATTCAGGAATTCTGGCAAGTTGCGATGCTACCCACACGCGGAATTGCAGCAGGGAAGCGATTTGCTCGCAACCCATATATCCACAACCTAGTGCCCTGAGGCACAGTTTTCGGAGTTCAATCGCCCCCACTCTCCGCTTCGACAGACACAGGAAAGGAGGAGGAGGAGACTGACGGAGGACATGGATGGATGAAGAATGGATGTCTCGTTGACGAATGATTGGTAGTCGAGTTTGGATGAATAAAACATGAATGAATGGTGTATGGTCGTGGCAAATGTATTACATGCATTTGTGTGGGAGTTGCCATGTTTTGTGTTGTAAGAAGAGGGAGGTCCTTTTGCTCTCTACTTTTGCAATTACCCAACTTAGGTAGTGTATATGATTTTTAAAGCTGTATGTTTGAAAATTTTAAAATTTACTATGATAAATAAAATTTTAATCTACAATTTAGACAAGAAAATTTTAGTAAATTTACAGTGAAAAAACTGATATAATATTTTCACGTGTGCTTTAATATGTCTGTTAATGAAGCATAGCAAAGATCTACTAAAACAACAAAAGTATGTGGCATTTATTTAAACTCTAATGTTTATGATTAATAATAATGATTTAAACTTGATTCTAAAGAATTTCAAAATATTTGTTGCAGTTTTTTGGAAAGACAATAAGGGATAAAGATAGCAGATTGTATACTCACTAACATTATTAAAAAAATCATAAACAGATACTGTTAAGATTCAATAAATTCTTTGGAAGTAAAGATAATTACTAATAGTGGTACCACTAAAGAATACTAAAATTTAATAATAATTCATATGTTATTCAATGTGGAACTACATATAATACATATAACACACACCTATAAATTTGACAAAGTACAAGTAGAGATAAAACATTATTGATTTTAAAAACATTATTGATTACAAAAGACCAATAAAAATATAAATAAAATAACACTAAGGAAAAACCAAGATTTAAAGTTAAAAAGAAATAGTTAATATAATTATTTTAAGAATATATAAATAAATATTAGACACAAAACAAATAAATTACCATAAAATTTATTATTAGAAGTTATAGACATTTGAGATTAAATACTTATAGATCAAGTATTAAAAAAATTTAAAATTTAAAAAATAATTAAATTCATAATTTTTTTTCTCGAAATAAATGTACATTTAATTTAAGTTGGTGAATTGAAAAACAAAGAGAAAATATGGATTTAAACTAGAAATACAAATATTTTTTAAAAATAAAAAAATTTGCAAGGATTTCCATCTAAGAATATTAGAGTAAAAAAAACCATGATAAGATATGTTATCGCTCAAAAAATTTATTGAAAATAAAATACAATGATGAAGTTATAAGAGAAGTTATGCAAGAAAATACAAATCAGTTACTATCAAAACAATAATATGATTTTTTTAAAAGAATAAAGTATATACTTTGATAAAAAAACCAAAGTATATATATATATATATATATATATATATATATATATATTTTTTGAAATAAATAAAAGAAATAATAAAATTTATATTCTGTTTTATTTTTCTACATTTTTGAAAGATTATAATAATAGTTTTAGTAACAATAGTATATAATAATATTAAAAGTATGATTTATAATCATGGTAAAAAAATATTATATTTAAATAAAGCTTAATAATATAAAAAAATAAATTAAAATTTTAAAAGAAATATGAATATGAAGTCTATAATAGAAAATATTTAATGTATTATTATTTAATATTGTGATACAAATTAGAATTTTTATGCTTAAGTGACCATTTTTTTAATTTATTTTTTTATTTAAAATGTTCTTTTAAAAAATATATAGTGTATTTTATTGATTTTTTTATAAAAATATTTTTATATATTACAAAATATAATATCTGAAAAGAGTGAATATAGAATCATTGAAATTTTTTATTGTATTTCAAAGATATTATATTACTATAGAAATTGAATTTTAAGAATTAAAATTATAATTTATGTGTCATTATTCCTTAGAAAAATAATTACTAGGCATGAACTTTTAAAAGCTTAAATATTATGTTTTACTAATGTATTTTTTTGTATAAAGTATTTTTTATAATTATTATTTTTTGAAGTTCTTAAGAAATCATAATCTTTTTAAGTATATTTTATAGTTGTTGCTATAATATTCAACTATGATTTGTAGTTTTTTTTTAAAAAAAAATCTACATGTGTGCTTATTTTATACAAAAATTAATATTCAATGTTTTAATTTTATTGACTTGTAAAGAACTACTTCATTTTTATTTCTTACAATATCAATATTAATAGATTATCTTTAATAGTTTATTTAATTAAATACTTTATAGAGAATAGTATTAAATTAAATAAACTATTAAATTTCTTACTATATCATAAGACATAGTTTGTTAGAACATTTCTTATTATATCATAAGACACATTAAAAAATGTGAATTGTAAAAAAAATGATTTGATAATTGATGCATCTTTATTTTGTATTGATTTTTTAAAATAAAGATCATATTTTTAAGACAAATTGAACTATGTAGAGAATTCTTAGTTATGATATATCCTAAAAAACCAAATATTTTATTTTGAAAATAAATTATTAAAATAAATAAATAAATAAATAAATAAATATATATATATTTGTGCATGATGGTTTAATAAATAAATATAATACCAAATAAATTTAAAAAGACATAATTGTATCAGGTTTCTAAACATGTTTATACAATATATATGTTAAAAGTTTAAAACCATTATTATAATTTTAATTTGAAATAATGCCAAAACACTAAAGTAAAACATAAGAAGAAAAAAAATAAAAGAAAATAATAAAAATTAACATGCATGTTTCTAAAATATTTATAAATAAAGATTCAATATTAAAAATTCTAAAAATAAAAATGGCTTTTGAGAGATTAACAATATTTTGGTTAAATGTACAATGAATATAAAATATAATACTATTTTATAGATCCACATAGTAGCAATTCATTGTATAAACCTAAATCTCAATTATAGTCCTTATATCTCAAAAATTTAATGAATAAATAACCACAATTATGTACACAAAGTGAAGTTGAGCTAAGCTGCAGGTTTATGTACATTCAACACATTTCTATCAGGTTTCCAATCCACAATTTACTTTGTAGCTTACATTCATGAATCCATATCAACCTGCATGGAGCAATAAGAGACTTTAAGGTTCTTGATCAAGGCTAGCTACCTCACATACAACCATGAACAATATAAAAAGATAATCGAAGCTTTGTTTCTAAAAAAATCCATGTTGGTTTACAAGTAGTTGATATCCAATTCAACTAGCAAATCTGATGATATATCTACACAAACGAGCTTGCTTGAAAAAAGATTGTAAAGTTCCATGCAATAATCTTTATATTTTTTGTACTTCAAGATATAAATAGATTTGAGTCCACAATTAATTTCCTTTGTTATAAGATTTGGGTAGTTCTACCATGTGTACTGCTAATAGTTTTAGAAATAATCCTAGTATGAAAGACATGTAGAGCTCATAATTTTAATTTGTAATATATTCAGGTGAATATAATTTTAGAATGGTGAAAAGATTAGAGATAAATAGTGGATTCAACTTGCAATCATTGATTCAAATGATGTATCACAAGTATATATAGATACATTAATAAATACCTATATGATTAGGTACAAGTAGATAAAAGTAGTTAAAAGTAGGTTAATTTCATAATACCTTTTAGAAAAGCTTTTTAGAAGCTTTATAGATACTACTTTGACTTTATATTTGTTTGTAGTTGATTGATAGGTTAAAGACTTAATCAACAAATTAACCACGTATTGATAGCTTGTGGAACAAGCTAACTATGTAGCACAAATATAAAAAACTTGCTTTGCAAGTTAAGATATGTATCTTGCAAAGTCAACACGTTTTTGAGTGACTTTTTAGTTTTTTTCAATGACACAAGAGTGTATTAAGGATTTCTTTCTTAAAGATTCTTGTCCTTGATAGTTTGACAAGAGTACTAACTTATTGTTTTTATCTTGTTTTAGAAATGAATGAATTATCTTACTTCTATTGTTGTGTTTTGAAGGTTGCAGATTACCCATCTTTAAATAATTTTTTTCTTCTTTCTAATACTGATATTTTTTTTTAAAGAGATTGGATTACTTCAATTGTAGAAATTTTCATTTTGTATTAGAGGTTGCAGATTATCCTCTTTTAATTCAATTTTTTGAATTTATTTGAATTTTCTATGGAAGAAAAGATTATAGAAGCTACTCTTAGTAGAAGTGAGAATAGATTTGTAACTATTGTAGATCTTCATGAGCTTGTCAATATTCTAAGAATAGAAATCTCATGTATTTCTAACATGAATTATGGAAGTACTATGCCTATGTCTATGGAAGAAGTTTAGAATGTACAACAAGAAATTGTGTAGTTGAAGGAAGCAAGTAGATCAACCTTGCAACCAAATCTAGAAAATTTTGTTTATATAAGTATGACAAGAATAAGGATTAGTATGCCTAAGAAGTTTGATGGAACAAGATCAAAATTTTGAGAATTTTTGCAAGAACTTAAGCTCTATCTAAAGTTGCATGCCTTTCAATATCCTGATGGATTTACCCGAGTTGGATTCATAGACACACTTCTATCAAGAAGTACTTTCTTTTTATTTTCACCTTTAATAGAAAAGGATTTGCAACTCCTTTATGATTTGAATTCATTCTTAGAAGTGTTTATAGCCACATATGGAGAAAGTGATCAAGAAAGAATAGCAGAGATCAAGTTCTTATCTTTATAGCAATGATTATGATCAACTACCATATATACTACTGAATTTCAAAATCTAGCTTGTAATGTTGATTGAAATGATAAAGCTCCTATCAATCAATTTTGATATGGATTGAAAGATAATGTCAAAGATTTGTTATTGATAATATCAAAGGTAAAATCTTTGAAATAATTTATCACTCAAGTGATTGCATGTAATAATCAATTATTTGAAAGATGTTTTAAATAAAGATTTGGCTAAAAAAAACAAATAAAATAATAACAGTAGCTTTCAAGTTTTCAAAAACTTATTCATTGAAGCCAAAATCAATGTAAATTGATACATTATGCTTT